TAGTCGATCATACTCAGTTAGCACTAGATCGTCGTCGGCGAGTCATACTTATCGTCCAGCATAACTATACTTCAATCCGATGATACCTGATGCTACAATCTGAGGGAGCCAATCAATCAATGCAGGGGGCATTATCATGACGTTCCTTTTAACGCGAGAGTGTTAAGAAGCTCGTGTCGCTGAAAAGCCGGCGTCGTCGTCGGCCGGCGTCGGTGAAACGAAAAAATCCTGATTGGTCGATAGGGTCATGATGCAGTCATAGCCACATGACCTCGCGCGGAAATCTAGAACAACTGTCACGTGAGACGTGACATCACGCATGGAATTAAAGTTACTAAAACACGACAACAAGACAGCTCACCGGATGTCTCGGATTATTTCACTTTATGAAGTAATATATTTGCCTTAATGAAAAACATTTGAGGGATTATAGGCGGGATTCGAAACCACGACCGGCGATTGCACACGCTAATGAGGCCACACAGAGACGCTTGCACGACTTTCGCGTTCCACTTTCAGAGGCGAAGCTTAAGTGTCCTCCTGTAATTTTTTTTATGGGTTTGTTATCATCGGTTAAAGTCGGATCGTAGCAACTGCTGCGGTAAGACTTCGAGTGAAGTGGAGGATATACTTGACTTCACCTTAATCCCAGTCGCAGCCTCCGCACTACGAGTTTATGAGATCAATCAAAGAGCATAAGAAGCGCATGCCCTGGTGTTTCTGATGTTTGTGTACGCGTTCGATCATTGCTGAACCATTCATAAAGTAGAAAGGCCTAGTGACTTGCGCATTTGACGGTACGTGATTGGTCCTATCACCTTGCAGCGCCGGCTGCGTCTGGAGTTAAGCTGAAACAAATCCTAGGCATGTGGCTCTCAAGTTGGGGCAACGCCTCTGGCAGGAAATCATATAATATTTATCGGTCGCGTTTCGGTTGAGCGTGATTGCGCTTTTTCACGTTGCTCGCGGAAGCTAAGCTGGCAGAATTTCACTGTTGGAAAAAAAGTTAAAAAAAGAATAGCAAAAGCAAACACAAAAATCTACAAAAGAGGAACTTTTTGATTATAATGCAATTAAATGCAAAGGTGTAAGCGAGCTGGACAAGAATGACGAAAAAAATTCCTGAAGAAAGGGAACAAGACGTACAAAGGACAAACACAGCTAGGTCACTGGTGCGCGACCGAAAAACTCCGCCTGGTACGGGTATCGAATCCGGAATTTCTCCATTACAGGTGGAGTGCTCTACCAATTGAGCTAACCAGGGGTTAGACGTCAGTAGAGCAAATGGGTTTTATCAGCTGCCACCAGTCTAACACCAACAAGGGTGAAGCTTGCAATTTTAAGGTTATAATTATAATGCAATCAATTGCAAAAGTGCAAGCGAGCTGGACAAGAATGACGAAAATAATCCCTGGAGAAGGGGAACAAGAGGGACAAAGGACAAACTCAGCTACGTGACTGGTGCGCAACCGAAAAACTTCGCCTAGTCCGGAAATTGAACCCTGGACCTCACCATTAAAGGTGGAGCGCTCTACCAACTGAGCTAACCAGGGGTTAGACGTCAGTAGAGCAAACGGGTTTTATCAGCTGCCACCAGTCTAACACCAACAAGGGTGAAGCTTGCAATTTTAAGGTTATAATTATAATGCAATTAAACGCAAAAGTGCAAGCGAGCTGGAAAAGAATGACGAAAATAATCCCTGGGGAAGGGGAACAAGAGGGACAAAGGGCAAACACAGCTAGGTGACTGGTGCGCTACCGAAAAAATCCGCCTGGTCCGAATATCGAACCAGGGACCTCTATATTACAGGTGGAGCTCACCTGTATTGGAGAGGTTCCTGGTTAGCTCAGTTGGTAGAGCGCTCAACCTGTAATGGAGAGGTCCCGGGTTCGGTACCCGGACCAGGCGGATTTTTTCGGTCGCGCACCAGTCACCAGCTGTGTTTGAATATTTATGTTTTTCCTTCGTCTTTCTTTTTCCATTTCTCTAGAGATTATTTTCGTCAGAGGAACTTTCATCGTTTTGATAGCACAACGCGAGCAAGCTGCTTTTCTATTTTGTTGCTTTGTACTTGTTTCGTTCATTCAGGCGGTCGCTGTAACCGCGGGAGGACAGCTGCTCACGCACGCTTCTAAACAGCTGTGCCTCATGCGTAATCAAACGTTGCAGAGGCGACACGGGTGCTTTATGCTCGGTTCAAGCCTTACATGGTCGCGTCTTTGAGAGCGCTTGTGCGTTTTAACCGAGATAAGCATGCCTATTGCCGCAGTCGACTATCAGTAGCGAGTGACACTTAGTGCAGCATAATTACTCCGCAGGCAATCTTTGGCTCGCGCAGCTGGTTTTAGAAAATGCGTAGTTTCCAACGTGAACTCACGACATTACGGGGAGAATCATGACGTACCAAGGGATAGCACAGCGGGCGTTTGACGTCAAAACTTAATACAAAGGACAATAGATAGAGTAAAGGGCGCGAGAGAGCAGCTTTCCTCGCGATTACTTCAGTCAGAAGGGGCTTTGTACAATCCAACTGCGCTAATATTTAGAAGCCTTCTACGCATCCACAAAGGAAGCAGAACCCAAAGAAAACTTCTCATTAAAACATGCTCGTGACGCACGCTACTCCTGAAAAAAAATTAAAGTTGTCTTGATCTTTCCAATAAACGCAGAAATCGCAAATCGAAGGATTTCTTTTTGTGTATAGCGCACGCAAAATCTCCCAAAAGCTCCCCGCCACCAAGCAGAGAAAATTATAAGACGCGAACAATGCATGTATACTACTAAAACTTCCGGAAATAAAAAAAAAATAGAAAAAAAGATGATGCCAAGATTTTTTTTTTTAATTTGTTGTTAAGTGTACAGCCACATCCCCTACAGTGCTCAGTAAGATGCTAATCAATTTAGGGGACGTAACGAAGGACCTAACAGTTTTTTTTTTTTTGCGCAACAAACAAAATTATGTTCTTATGCTTTTTTGAAGAAGCCGCTGCCAGTCTGTTTCGTACTGACCGCTGCTTTAATCACAAGAGCGCAAGAACATAATCTTTTTGTGTGCTTCAACGCGGGGGAGGGGGGAGGGAAATTTTGCTATCTACAGTAGGCGATGTGGCTGTAAACCTGGTTTGGAATCCACAAGGCTTTTAAATAAAGCAGAGTATAAGACTGTGCCAAAGTTCATAGAGGCGTTTTATAAAAAAAAAAAAACAATTAAGGCAGATAGCCATCACGTTGTCACCCTTTTTATTTATTTACCTAAAGACATGTTACTTCTTTCGTTGTTTGTCTGTAAGGGTGGTGATTGGTTCCGATGCGGGTCGGGCATAGTAGTGTATATACCGGGTGTCACAAAACCACAAAACAAAACAACGTTTACAGTTTTTTTTTTATTGCAAAAATGAACTAGGCATTGCCGAACACTCATTCTCCGCCCAAAGATAGCGCTAGGTCACAACCAGATGCCAAAGTTTCAGCCCGATCCGATACCCTATTCAAAAGTTTTAAGCTATTTTCAGAAACTTTCAATGGGAGAATGGAGCCCATTTTCGCCCGTTTTCGGTTTCTGATGAGATAAAGGCCCATGGATTCGAAAACTGCGTCGGCCGTTATTTTCCCGTTGAACTTTTCAGAAAATCACTTATAACTTTTGAATAAGGTATCGGATCGGGCTGAAACTTTAGCATCTGGTTGTGACCTCTAGCGCTACCTTTTGGCGGAGAATGAGCGTTCGGCGATGCCTAGATTATTTTTGCGGTAAAAAAAAATCACAAAAAAACCTGTACATTTTTTTGCGACACTCTTTGCGTATAAGTGACGATGGCTTCTAATAAATTGAATTGAGTGCCGTATCTCCTGTCGTCTGCGCGTCTTCATCGTCACCGCTATGTTTCCGTTCCTAACGCTTTAGTCTGTTTTATTCATCAACGCAGGGTTGGGCGGTATCGCGATACAAATGTATCGCGGTAGTATTTCAGAAATACATTTCTTATCTGTATTTCTGTATCGCGATACATTGTTTTTTTTATTTTTTATTTTACAATACTGCAGGCCAGTTCTCTGGCCCAAGCAGGAGGGGCAAAAAATGCAACATATGGGTGCACATGAAAAAATGACAAACACAATAATACAAAAGAAGACAAGACCACTGCTGCGGAATGCATTATCGATTTAGGTACCGTTCTAATTCCTGAATGAAATTGGCTGACTGAATAATGGTTTCTGGTAGCAAGTTCCAGTCCGAACTTGCTTCACTAGTATCTGTATTTCTGTATCGAAATACAGTTTGGAATGTTTCTTTGTATCGCGATACGATCAGGATGAAATGTATCTCGTTACATTTTTTTGAGAAATACTTCCCCCCTCCCCCTCAAAAAAACAAAAAAAAAACAAGTCCGAACGTATATTTTTTTATTTGTTTTTACTTCTCAGGGCATCAGAGTTAAGGAGATGCTGGGGCATTGTTGCTATGCTGACCAAAGGTTCCTTCCGATTCTCCTGGCAATTTTTCTATACGTCCTCCTCTCTCTTCTGAGAAGTGTTGCGTAGTCGGGGACTCGAACCAAGTGGCGTGCCAGGAGTGGAGTCAGAGCATCTTCTGCCACAGGTCCTTAGGTAGGGATTTCTTGAGTTATTGTTCGCTGGAATCCAATGTCCGCTTATAAATGTCTCTCTTGCCTTAGCGTACACAATACGCGCAACCGGCAAGGCTGAGTCACACACAGTCTGTTGCAGCACGAGCCTGGCGGTGGTTGACTTTAACCCTTTGAGGGACAGGTTGACTTCCTGATAAAATTTCGGATTAAAACTTTGCACATGGCAGTAAAACACCCTAAATATGTGCCTCAAATAACTTTTGGCGAAAACTTACGTATAGTTAGGTCAAACGTAGGTGGTACATTTGCGAGACCACTGTACCAGACCGGGTAAAAAATAAATGAATAAAGTCAGAATTTCTTTTTCACGCAATATTTAATAATTTATCCAGCTACAAGGTTATATAAAGGTGAAGCTCTCTTTAGAAACACAAAACATGTTATATGACAACGGTAGTTCTTAGTTGTTTCAGTGAGAAAAGACTTCCGTTCCTCACTTTCGATGGAAACCAAGAAAGCAGTTTCGGGTTCCCTGCAGGCAAAGGCCAACGTTGCACACTTCGCACATCCATCGTGTGCGGCACGGATTATCTTTTGTGCTGCATAACGCACACCTTCTCGACGTCGAGTGGATGGGGAGATGGCTAACCTTGTTGTAGCGTATGTCTTGTGGCACGTGTGGCTTGTAGGAAGGGAGTTCGACTTTTCGCTTTTTATGCGGGTTGAGGTCTGGAGCACCCATGAGTCCTTCCGCGACCTGCAGTTTGAATTCTTTCAACGGCGGAACACGCTCCCCCGCCATAATTTGCTTGAACAAAATATGGGCATTCACAACACTCACATCCATGAAATGAAAAAAAATTCTATGCCACCATTTTTTACTTTTGCGATCCACTTCATAATACGATTTCAGCATATCTGCCTTATCGACGTAGCCCATGTGTTGGTTGTAGTCGATGATGACTTGTGGACAGGGAACGTCTTCATGAGCTCCGTCTTTTAGCCTCCTCTTCACGGTTTTAATTTCGGAAGGCGTGTGAGCATTGGATATCATTGTGACACATCTCTTGTCTTTCCACTTGAGAACGAGCATTTTGTCATCAGGACACATCCTCCAATCGACGTCCCCTCTTTTGAGACCGGCATCTGTACAGAGCTGGGGCAGTTGCTTGCGATTAGCTCGCACAGTTCCTGTAGCATAGATCTGAACGCTTGTGAGATGTTCGACCAGAGGTACGGATGAGAAATAATTATCGAAATAGACGTGATAGTTTTTTCCTTTGAGGCATTCGGTGAGGTCTCGTACAACTCGCTCGCCTAGACCTTGCTCGCTGCTTTGGTTGTCTGCCTTACCCGCATAGATTTGGAACTGGCAGACATAACCCGTCTCGTCAGCACGGGTCCACACCTTGTAGCCACGCTTGATGGGCTTCATGGGCATATATTGCTTCAGCGCAGACCTCCCTTTGAAGCGAATCATAGACTCGTCGATACTCTGGTTTTGGGAGGGAAAATAATTCGTGAAAAACGTTTGCGCCAGTTTATCAAGCAGTGGACGCACCTTGTAGAGCTTGTCGAAGCCCGGGGATCCACGGTTAGGAGCAACAGCATTGTCGTTGAGGTGGATGCTCGTCAAGAGTGCCCCGAACCGACGCATAGACATCTGCCGTGAGACAAACGGGTCTCTCAGGCATTCGCGGCTTGACCAGAAGTCCCTGTAGCTTGGTAGCTTCTTTATGCCCATAAGCATGTTGATGGCCAGAAATGTTTTTATCTCTTCTTTATTAGTTGGGGAAAAAGCTTTCCCCGTCTGCGTTGCGTAAAGGTTCGTCTGAAAGACAATGTCCTCAATGAAGTCTTCAGGAACTAATTCCAGGAAGACGTCCGCCGGCCGCTTGTCTTGAGCATCAATTTTCAAGCTGTCTTGCACGCCAGATGCCTCAGCACATGCGTTTAGTTGTGGCCTGTAGTCTTTTTTTACCCAACGCTTTGCCGATGAACTTGTTGGTGTGGTGCACGCCATGAGGTCATCGTCAGAGTCCTGCGAGCTTTCCGACTCAGATGGTTCCGCATCACCTTCTTCTATCTCGGTTTCGTCATCCGTGGTAGATTCTCCGGATTCATCGTCTGAAGGTATATCTTCAATCACGACATCGTGTCTTCTCCGACCATAGAACGACTTCGACCCAAGTTCCATTCCTATAGAAAAAAAAATATTTGATTTCTGAAATACTCAAGCGTTTGGTAAGTGAAAATATATGCCTACATTATACAAAAAAGTATGAGTGAAATACACAAACCAAAAGCTTGTATGCTTATTTTGTAAAATTTACTATCATGCAATGTTTCAGTACAGTGGTTTCAAAAATGAACCACCGCAGTTTTTTGCCAACCGAAAGCTTAGAAATGAAGACTGATCTTAGTAAGAAGTATTACTTGCCTCTTGAGAGCTGATAGAACAACTTGCAGAACAATTTTCTATATTATGGCACGTGAAACAGAGGGAGTGACGCGTCGATGTGAACAAGTGGAAGCCACGTGTTGAACAACGTTTTTCCAGCGTACTAAAGAGCAGCCGTGCAAAATAATGGAAACATTTAACGTTCCTGTCGAGAGAGGGCGCCACCGACCTGCAAAGCGCGGCGGTTTCAAATGGATACCACTGTCCGTTTTGCTCTTGGGCGACGTTTTTTTGGTGGTATCATGTTGAAACCACAATCCCTCAAAGGGTTAAATAGTAGGATGACTCACGCAACGAAGTTCAACACATATTCGAATGCGTCTGCGGCTGCGCCCGTAATATTGCACGACTCAAGCGTACGTCATCAGCCGACATGAACGTGACCCGCTGCTCTGGGGATCCGAAACCCAGGAGGGAGGCTAGACGTGGCCTCGCTGTGCCGACCCAGACTTCTTACACCTGCGACTCGTCTCGAGCGCGCCGTTTCTCGGAGAGCTCGCACCTGTGCCGGCAATATCAGGTCGCAGTCCACGAGGTCTCTGTTTGGGGGATGCTATGCGAAACTTGATGACTGCAATCCATGTGTCGGTGGCGGAGTGTCTGCAGGAAGGACTTTCACAACAGGAATGCTATCGTATCTTTTTTTCAACCGTAACCGAACGTGAGACACGTGTTCCAGGATGCTTCAGGTGGTCCACTATTCTCGAAAATTCCAAATGACACTGCCTGCACGATCTTCAACGAGGTAACCTACAAGGAAAGTACCTATTGTACTTTCATACAGCAGTGAGGTAAAGTGTAATGCTCTAGGCCACACCTACGGATAAAATATACCAGTTTATTCCACCGCGACTTCATGTGATCAATGTTCGCAGGGACGTCCTCCTTGGACAGGGGCGTGGTGGCGTTTTGATGGGATTTAGGGTGTCATAGAATTTATTTAGAGGTCGAAGTATTTTCGCATCCCTCGTCATAAAGACAGGATGTCAGGGAAAGGACCGCAGTCAGTCCTTGGTAGAACGTTTTTTTTTTTTTGTTTTTTTGTTTTAGCCTATTGAAGACTCCTCGTCGTCCGAAACCACTGCCTTCAAGGCAAAGTGCCAAGCCTACGGGAAAGCAATTTTGGGGTCACAAACTTCCACTTCAAGCTTCATCTCAGTTGGCGTCTCTAAAAAATTTGAAAAATGTATTGCAGTATCAGTATTTCTGTATTCGTATTTCTGCCCGCTCTAAAATGTATTCCTGTATTTGTATTTCCAAATACTTTTTGCCTCTATTTCAAATGTATTTCCGATACGTATCGCGATACATTTTTACAGATGTATTTTAGTATCTGTATTTTGGCTACTTTTTTAATGTATCCCAGTATTTGTATTTCCAAATACATTTTTGAGTACTTCTGCCCAACCCCGATCAACAGAACGTTTACAAAAAAAAAAAAAAAAGAAGTGGGGGAACTACACAGTGCAGGAATGACGACGTCTGGCAGTCGTGTAGGTCATTGAAAAGTATTGACCTTACATGAAACACATGCAGTTTAAGATCCACACCGACAATTCAGACGACGGACCAATACGCAAACTGAGTGATCACGTGACTACTCGTCCTATAGTCACCCGCCTCCCAAGTCAGTGTCCAATAAAAGTTACACTATAACCATCGGCTTCTCTCTACTAGATGTCCAGGCCCAATGCTCCACCTTGCAACATGCATGAGCGGTTAGGTTGCGTCGCCAAGCGGTCGTGCTTTATTTTTTTTTTCTCTCATTACTATTGAAGATGTGTCAAACATATTTTTAACAACATCTGGGAGACGTTTCTGGCAGCGAACACCTTGATTCAAAAAGTTTAAGTAAGACTGACCCCCGAAATCAGAAACGAGCCTTTCCTTTTTGCGTTGTCTTACCTTACGCAAGGCATGGAAAATGTCTCATTTACAGGCAAGGTGCGATTTCGCGTCACAAACCCGCCTTCATCTTTTCTTAGGTAAGGAGCAGACGAAGGACACCTTGGTTGAGTAACGAAATGATGAGCACGCCTGGAGGTGAGATTATAGTACATTTTGATCGCCAATCACACAATAAACGCTTTCATCAAAAGTTTAGCGATTGACTGTTCGTGTAGACTGTTTGGTACCTCCAACAACCAGATACATTTTAGTGAAAAACCCGAGACTGAGGTAATGACAGACGACGACAAGGAAGAGAAGGAGAACGTCTCAAACACAGCTAAACCTTTATTGAGGAAAGGACCCTTTATATAGGGTTGAAAAAAGAAGGAAGGAAAGGGAACCCTTCTTCACATCACCTCTCTCCACAAAAGGTACGACACCAACTCTCTTCACAAAAGACACGACATCGGACCTCTAACAACGGGGCCAAACCAGCAAAAGAACTGACAGCACCAAAGATAACACATAAAAAAAAGAACCTGGAAAATAACAGATTGCACTGGACCTTTCACTGAGAAAGTCAGCTATAAAACTACCAAAACAAAATGTTACCAATACCAATAGAGATTTAAAAATCCCTTCTATTCTGCATTTAAAGACAAAGAAGGCTCGTTCACTGCATTCCCATGCTTCGTTATTGCGATTGACTCTTTCAGCAGGCGCTTGTGGTCGTTTTGTTTTGTTACAATTGTGGTTGTAGATTTCCATAAAGGCACGCAATTGCTACACTCCTGAATGTGCTTGGACACCTCGGAATACGGATCCTGTTTTTTTACACAACGTTTATGTTCACCTAGTCTATCATTAATACAACACTTCGTTTGACCTATATAGCACAAACCACAATCAAAAGGGATCTTGTAGACTATACCTGAAATACATGTAACACACTTTTCCCTGTGCGTTTTTTTTAATTCTGGGCGGAAGCGAACGGAGTTGACCGTTTCAAACTGCTATCTGTGCAAAACGCCATGCGTAAACAAAACTCCTCACCAACTGATTTTAAATTGTGTGAAATTGTATGAAAAAACAGTACGACAACAAACTTTTCGTGCTCGGGCATTTTCCTAATTTGTTTGCCTTTTTCAACACTGTACGAAAGCTGCTTGGAAACGAATTCTTGAGGATACTTTGCAACATTTAGCCGGGAAAACACAACTTGAATCGACGTCATAATGGAGTGCCAACAAGGCTTTTGAACCGTGTTGTTAATCATGTTTCGAACCAATCCTGCCTTGACGTACTTTGAATGGCAACTATCAAAGGGAAGTACTGGTTTAGCGTTTTCTTTGCCATACGACCAACATAAACCGGGGACCAATCTGAGCTGGAGGTCTAAATATTGAAGTACGTTGTTGGCTGGCTATTCTATAGACCACTGCAACTCCGGTGCCTCGCTGTACAGGGTATTCTCAACGGAACCAGCAAGGGCTGAGTCACGGACACGTACCAAAATGTCATCCACGTATCTTCTAATAAGTACTGAGCTCGAGTGATAATGTTCGATCATCTGTTTCAATTTTAGGTCTAAGCTCCGGAGGTATATTTCTAAAAGGGCCGGGGCGACAGCCGAACCAATACATACGCCTTGACGTTGAATGTATTTCCGCTCATCATAGTTTACCACTGTGGACTTTAGATATAGTTCAAGTATCCTTAGAAAACCATTGATCTCTATACAGTTAAAGCCCAATGCATGCCTTCTTCCAATAAAGGTATTGTGGCAAGTAGGTATGACTCAGCTTCAAGCCATCACAATATATACTTTGTTCATTTCTGATCACCTGCTGTAGTCACCACTTCTAGTCAGTTTTAAGCTTGTTGCTGTAGTACATACAGATTTGTTTTAAATTATTGTTGAGTCATTTTATCAGCCCAGTCTATAGCGTCCTTGCTCGTATGTATACACTTCTTTTGGTTTAATTTGAAACAACAATAAATCTGTTTTCGTACATGTACCTGACTCATTTCATCTTTGCAAGGGTAGTAAATTGCAATTAATTTCGTCTCAATATGTGCTGTGATGAAAAGGAGCTCGGTAATGGTCGTGCATTCCAGCGCTGTTGTTAATAGTGTGCAGTGCTGTGCCTTTTACAAACATTCTTTTACTCAGTTAACGGACATGCTACGATCAAGCTTCTTCAAAAGGTGAATGCAGTCAATTATCTCCAGTTATGTATATAATGCACTGGAGTCCGGTGGTTCATCTTCTGGAAAACATTGCTATGTGTGCGAAAAGGGACCTCGTTGAAGACCAAGGACGCAATATTTTGCTGCAAGTCTTAGCTTTTTCAGTCCTTGGAAAAGCCATGTCTGTAGCGAAACACTGCCTGTCGTTGGGTTTCAAGGAGGTTCCTTTCCAACACCTTTCTTTCAGCTTTGACTACCTACGGTTTTGTTGGCACCCAAGTTTATAAAACATTAAATTCACATCAAAGAAAATGGTACTGCTACACTAGCAGAATATCCACAAAATGTTAGAAAGAACTTTTCAGTTGATGAAGAAAAGTGTTGTAATCAGACGCAATTGCTACCCATGCAGTTCGCCTTGTTCACAGCAGAGGCATGGGTAGCATGAGTATCGGTTGCGTCTGATTTACAATATTTTTGTCTTCGTCAACTGAAAAGTTCTTTCTACCATTTTGTGTGTTATTCTGCTAGTGTAGCAGTACCATTTTCTTTTGATGTGAATTTAATGTTTTACAAACGTCGCATACCGGTTGTAAAGGTGTTTCTCAAATGTTAATATAATGTTTCTTTGAATGTTAGTTTCATGTTTTGCAAACATTAAATTTATGTTGTAGGAACATTTCCTGTGTGTTCAAATAACGTTTGGAAAAGCATCAATCTAACTTACGCATAAACGTTGTGAAAACATTAAATTAAATGACATTAAGGAGATTTTTCAAACGCTTGGGCCAAAGAAACAAATAAAATTATTATAATGATTTAATGCTACCGGGGCCACTGCAAAAAAGCATTCTAGGGCACAAATGGTGAGGTCCTCCTATGCTTTGTCTATGCACTATAATATATGGCGTGCAAATTGTTATGGAGGTCGCCGACGCGCCGACGCTAGCGAGCTCCGGAGTCCAAAGCGACCGAGCGAGAGCAACC